GAAAAGTAGAGCTTGTTTTCTAATCTGCCCATAGTCCTAGCCCACACTCGTATGTGCATAATGAAAGTAAATGATAATGGTGACAGAGATAGTGAAGGTGATCTATATGGTGATAGCAAGCCAAGACATATGCCCTTTCGTGTTTCTAAGGCACTTGGCTAAGCCCTGGGCATAAATATTACAGATCATCTCAATCCTAGGAAGCATGCATGATCACGCTCACACTGCAGGTGAGAAACAGGTGTGCCCTGCTTTCTGTCCTTCTCCATGGAACCTGTCCACCCCCACGGGTACAAGCACCCAAACTGGCATGAGGGTGCTGATGGATTCCCTCCTTCCCTTCAGTTCTCCACTGCTCTCCTGAATGATGGCTCGGGTGCGGTGACCTGAGCATCCATCACTAGCTTGCGGCACTTGATGGTGCTGTGTATCACAAGACTGTCCATGATTTGGGTAATTACAAAACAACACAATGTCTAAATTGAATGCTTCCTTTAGCTGGGTATTAATGGGAATCTTAATGGGGTTACATTCCCTTTGAGGGTACCCTAGCCTGTTAAAAGAACTCCTGGTAGTGACTTTTCAAAATGAATTCACTGATTCCTCTTTGACATTTCTTTCTTTTAAAAAAATTTTTTATAGTAGTCAACAATACATCTTATGTATGTAATCTCATATGTATCATATACATATAAAGCTCTTTGGCATTTCTTAGTCCATGTAAGTTGCATTTTTTCCCTAATCTGCCCACTTAGTGCTTTCTTCCTCTTTTACAACATGGCCTGAGTGTGACCTGTCGCAGAACTTTCTTCCATGTTATCTTCCCTGTAATTTATGCTATCATACTAAGAGTACTGAGTCACTCTGAGGGCAGTTTGTTTTCTCCAGTGAGTCTGATGGGATTTTTGCGCTTGGTACGTCAGGCAAGCCAGGTGCCATCTCAGCATCAACCGCCCCTAAGAACTGTCTTTAGGGGTGTGGGCCACCTCATCCTGTTGATGGCAGAGAGTTGTTTTTTCTGTCCCCTGGTCTCCTAAGCTGTGCTGTGCATATCAGGTGGTGAGCATGATTCAAAGGGTGTAAGACGACATGCTAAGAAGTTTCCTTTTAGTTTTTTTAAATGAAATGCTGGCTGGGCTCGGTGGCTCAGCCTGTAATCCCAGCACTTTGGGAGGCTGAGGTGAGAGGATTGCCTGAGCCTGGGGGTTTGAAACCAGCCTGGGCAAATTGGTGAGACTTTATCTCCACAGTAAATCACAAAATCTAGCTGGGCGTGGTAGTGTGCATCTGTAGCTCCAGCTACTTAGAAGGCTGAGGTGGAAGGACTGCCTTAGCCCAGCAGGTTGAGGTTGTGGTGACCGTGAGTGTACCACTGCACTCCAGCCTTGGTGACAAGAGTGAGACTCCAACTAAAAAAAAAAAAAAATGAAATGCTTATATTATCCACAATGTATTTTCTGTAAAAATAATATATGGCACAGAAATAGCTGTATGCCTTTCTTTATAATAGCTATAAAGATACAGAACAGCTATAAAGATATAGACATTTGGGAGTTGTATTTCATGAATAAACCTGTGTATAGTCCACAAAATCCAGAGACACTTGAATGATTCGATGCTGACTTTCTGTTGTCTCTCCTGGAGCTCCATGGAAGCTAGCATAAGTGAGTACATGTGAATGCACCAAATTGTGCCGATTCCCTGTATAAACCCTCTGGACAGAGGAGATCGTCTCTTCTGTTTCAAAGAAGACTGACCAGTCTTAGGTAATGGCCCATGACATCCTACATGTTGAGGTAACTTTATGGCATTTGCACACATCTGCTGTGCCTAATCACTTATGTTTGTAGGGCTGCAGTCCCCCAAGTCATGCTGAAAATAGTGGAGTCTTATTTCCTCAATTTATAGATTATTAAAATATACTATTTGACAAGTTTTACAATGTTATGTATATGCAAGACTCAATTATTTTAAAAGAGAATTAAAGCCTATACTTCAGAGAAATAACATGAGAATATAAGCTTATAATTTTGATTTATTTCAACTCATTTGTTTAAATGCTATCTCTAAATATTATTATTTTCTATTTAATGTTATAACTTTAACATATCTTCAGGATCTATTTGGTAACTTACATGAAATACATGTATAGGCAATATGTGTATGTCATGAAAGTACATGAAGACAAGGAAGCCCAATCAGGGCCATGTGCTTAAAGACAGCATGGGCCCCATGCAACTCAGACACAGCTGGATAATTAGATTCATACTTTTTGTTCTTTCTCCCAGACTTATCATAGGAGGAAGCTAATTTACTAAATGTGTGAATGGAGAAAATTGTATTCCTTTACTTGATCAATTCTTTGGAAAATGATCAGCTTTTTCTAATTCTTACTGTGAAATTTCTATTTTATATATCAAAATTTCCAAAGTTTTTAGACCACATACCCACTGAGGTTTGAGTTCTTAAGTGCAATCCCATGGTCAGGGTGCCTAATCATTTCAGCCTCCCGTTAGTGACTTATGTTTTAGAACTAATGGTCCGAGTAGCTGTGAAAACAAGTTAGCATCAAACTCTTGACATTCAGATGGTAAATCTGTAAGGATATGTCTGGGCCCATATTACAATGTTATACTCTTCATATTATAGCCATATAAAGGTTTGAATGAAACTATATGCAGTTGGCCCTCTGTATCCCTGGGCTCTACAATCCTGGATTCAACCAACCGTGGACTGAAAATATTCAGAAAAAAAATTGTGGCTGTACTAAACACGTACAGACTTTTAAAAATGGTCATTCCCTAAACAATACAGTATAATAACTGTTTCCATAGCATTTATACTATAATAGGTATATAGGTAATCTAGAGATAATTTAAAGTATACAGGAGGATGTTCACAGGGTTTATGCAAATACCACACCATTTTATCAAAGACTTGAACATCCATGGATTTTGGTATCTAAGGGAGGTCCTGGACCCAATCTCCTACAAATATCAAGGAATGACCATAGTTACATTGTATGGGAAACCATTCCATGAGTGAGTCATCACCAAATCCTCTAGTATAAATTTTACACTTGTGCCCCATAACTCTGAGAAAATACCCTTTCTTCCTTGAGAAAGGAACTCAAACTCCTACAGAGAAACACCTTTACGATGAAGATGGTCACTTGTCTTTTAATGAAATTTGTAGAAAGAAATCATCCCAGTCTACTTAACATGTGGTTATACTTGCCACTTTGATTGCACATGCTTGTAATTGAGTGAGAAGAAATTTGGAAAGCGATGCTAGAAATAGTCAGCAACTGGACTCTGCTGACTTTGTCTAGTTTTTTCTGGCATAGGTTTCTAAAATATGTAGGATGAATAGTTATCTTGGGGGATTCAAGAAAATACATACATTCCATTAGTGTCCTATGAATAGAGATTGTTAAGACTCTACTATTTTGGTATTTGTTTCTCTTTAGCCTTTAGGCTGGGACAGAGCTGGAAAATGATTTTAGAAGCTGCATTAATTCTATAATATGAATTCTATATATGAGGAGCTACATAATAATAAAATAATAGCTAACTTTCCAAAGAGATCATTATATGCCAGACACTCTTTGGTGCTTAGTGCATTTACACACATCATATCTCTAGGAGGTAAGTAATATGGTCATCCATATTTTACAAATGCGATCATTGTGTTAATTGACATTTCAGGTCCCCCACTTAATAAATGTCAGATTAAGCCGGGCTGGGTGGCTCAGCCTGTAATCCCGTGCCTTTGGGAGGCTGGGGTGAGTGGATTGCCTGAGCCCGTGAGTCGAGACCCGCCTGGGCAGCGAGACCTCATCTCTACAATAAATCAAAAAATCAGCCGGGCGTGGTAGCGCATGCCTGTAATTCCGGCTACTTGGAAGGCTGAGGCGGAAGGATCGCCGGAGCCCAGCAGGTCGAGGCTGCGGTGGCCAGGAGCGGCCACTGCACTCCAGTCAGGGCGACAGAGTGAGACTCCAACTCAAAATAAATAAACAAATAAATAAATAAATAAATAAATAAATGTCAGATTAGCCGGGGTCGGTGGCTCAGCCTTCTAATCCCGCGCTTTGGGAGGCTGGGGTGAGTGGATTGCCTGAGCCCGCGGGTTCGAGACTCTCCTGGGCAACTTGGCGAGACCTCATCTCTACAATAAATCAAAAAATAGCCAGGCGTGGTAGCGCACACCTGTAGTTCCAACTACTTGGAAGGCTGAGGCAGAAGAATCGCCGGAGCCCAGCAGGTCACGGTTGCAATGGCCAAGAGCGGCCACCGCACTCCAGTCTGGGCAACAGAGTGAAACTCTAACTCAAAAAAAAACAAACAAAAAAAACCAATAAATGTCAGATCATAGATGTAAATTCAAAATGTCTGACTTTGGCACACACTTAACATCCTGTGTGATTTGAATATTTGGTCGGGCAAAATGTAAACCAGAATGAAGATGGAACTAAAATAATATAATTGTGCACAAATTATCCCATGAACACCCTTTACTTGGGAGGATTTTATTTCCAGACTTAGGCGATTCTCCTCACCCAAATTGAACAAAATCATAGAGCTCTTGCTGTGAACCAAACATTTTTATCAGGTTTCTACAGGTACAAAGGCAACTAAGACATTGCTCCTGACTTTGAAAACTAAAAAATGAGGCCGAACAAGGAAATACTTTGTATATAATATGGCAGTTGTATTGCAGAGGTACTATGGGAGTCCAGCAATGAGATACCCAGTCCAGTCATGACAGAGAAGTTCGAGGACAGGGAGAGAGCTGTGATACATCCAGGAGCATGTGAAGATGGGCTTCCGTGCTGAAGGGGGAAACGGCATTTTGGGGTCAGTCCATATATTTTGATGACGGCAGTAGAGATGAATGAACTTGGTTGAGATGGATGCAGGTGGCAATACGTGTGGTAAAGATAATTCTCCTTGCTTTTCTCTTCAGAAATTTTCTACATGCTGCTTCCCCTTACAAAGATGAATGGAAATAACAAACTCTCCAGTTTTCTTGCCATAAGAGAGGCCTTTTTCTCCGAAGTCAGCATTGGGATCTTAGCCAATGCCTTCCTTCTTCTCTTTCACACTCTCACATTCCTGCTCAAGCACAGGCCCAAGATCACCGACCTGACCATTGGTCACTTGTCTCTAATCCACATAGTCATGCTATTAACTGTGGGTTTTATAGCTACAGACATTTTTGAGTCTCAGGAAATTTGGAATGACATCAGGTGTAAGTTATCTACTTGTACAGGTCAATGAGAGGTCTCTCCGTTTGTACCACCTGCCTGCTGAGTGTCCTCCAGGCCATCACCCTCAGCCCCAGAAGCTCCTGTTTGTCAAAGTTCCAACACAAATCCTCAATCCACAATGTGTGTTGCTTTTTTTCCCTCTGGGTCTTCAGTATGGCCATTAATGGTTGCTACATAGTCTCGACTGTTGCCACCCCGAATGTGACCTCAGACCATCTCCTGTTTGTCACTAATTCCTGCTCTCTTGGGCGCATGAGCTACTTCCTCAGGCCCTTATTCACCACACTGCTGACCTTCCAGGATGTCTTCCCGATAGGGCTCATGGTTCTGTCCAGTGGATACATGGTAATTCTCTTGTACAGGCATAAGAGGCAGTCCCAGCATCTTCACAGCACCCATCTTTCTCCAAAAGCATCCCCAGAAAAAAGGGCCACCCACACCGTTCTGTTGCTCATGAGTTTATCTGTGGTCATGTACTTTTTGGATTGCATTGTGTCCTCATCCTCAGGAATGTTGTGGAGCAGTGATCCCGTTCGTCATTGTGTGCAGATGCTTGTGGGCAATGGCTATGCCACCATCAGTCCTTTGGTGCTGATGAGGACTGAGAAACGAATGTTCGTGTTCTTAACATCCATGTGGGGGAAGGACAGTAAACTCTTCATTATCCAATAACGGAAAATGCCTCTTAAAATGAGCAACTACTTTGTCTTAGCGTACATGACATGCTCTGGGATAATTCAAATATATGGGGTTATGCTTTTTCTGTTAAACATACTTTTTATACACATTGTTGACAAGTACATAATAGATTATAAATAATTTTGCCTATAACTATCTAAGAAAACATAAGCTTCTAGTCATGCCATAAGAACTGCAGATCGTATCCATTTCAAATTCTAAAGTGACAGGAAATAGATTAGTGAGATCCTGGGGATGGATCAAAGGACCAAGAAGGGGCAGAAAGAAGGCATTACGAAGGGGCACAGAGAAAATGTTACGGGTGATTGTGACTATACTTTCACATGTGTTATATATGTTTGTATTAATCAATTTGCAAGTTTTCATATATACAGTTTAATTTTTGTCAGTTATACCTTAAGAAAGTTGTTTAAGAACAAATTGGAAAAATGAGAACATAAAACCTGGATAAACAATTTTATGACTTTAATAACTGATCACATAATATATGTGTAATGTGTCTATAGGTGTGCACAGAATTTAAGTAACTTTTTATGAGGTAATGTTTGAACATTGGCCACATACAAGATTGGAAAACATCTCTACATATTCCATAAAATAAAATGCTTACAGTCCTTATTCTCTAGACATAATTTAATAATATCAGCAAATGATAACAAAAGGGCAGCAATTCAAATTATCCATCTTCTTGCAAAATCTATCAACCCTTATAAAAAACTTATGTATAAATTCACAAACGAAGCTGGGTAGTGGGAAGCATAATAGAACATGAATTCAAACCTTTGACTCTACGTGCTTGCTTTGAAACCAGAAAATCAATAATTACAACCATTCCTATATCTTTTTTTAATAGCATAATGATTACAATACCCAATTTTGGTATTATTTCACTCTTTAAAAATTAAATAGGATCATTAAAATTGTTATTTTATTGTATAGCGTAATATTAGAAGCAACACAGAATTCACACATCACAAATTTAGAATTTCTCACAAAACACTTTTTTTCTGCAATATATTATTTGTGTGATGTGAATCTGAGAATCTTGTTTCTTGCATGCATACTGTGAAACTGTGAATATTTCTGCTGTAGGTGATATGACAAACCAGTCCTTGTGAAAATACTCTATCCTAGATTCTGAGTAAATTAAGACATTCATTTAAATACCTAAGAGTGTTTACAAAAGCAAGTAATCCCAGAGTCCAAATATGAGGCATGACCTAAGACCAGAATATTAAACCTGTGTTGCACTTAAGGCATTTGACAGTATCCCAGATAACTGATACTTGCCTCATCTAGCAGAACAAAGCACAGAACGTCCAACAGCTGCTTAGGTCAACAGCAGATGGCCAGTTGGAATTGAGAGGGACATTAAGCTGGAGCTTTAAGGAGCGTGAAATAGATAGAATGCAACAAGTGGCAAAGGAGTCAGCAAAGCCAGCCCTTGGTTTTGGCTATGGTGGTGGTAAAATTTTCCTTCAAGCCCACTTGAACTTCAGATTTAACAAATGATTCAAACATTTGATGTTAGTGCTCCAGAGTAGGGAAGAAGCAAATCAAAATTTATTTTCAAATTGATACTCAACTATATATGAGTGAAAAATCTTAAGTGGAAAAACATTCCAAAGCCTGATTTATGTAGAAATTAAAGAGTGTAGAAATTAAAACAGAAAGAAACAGAGAAAGAAATAAAGAAAAAAATTGGGGGAGGGAATGCAGGTCAAAGCTTCACATACACATTAATGCACAAAGGAAAATATTTTTAAAATAGATGAAATAACAGAAAATTTTTAAAATTAAAAAATAATTGAAAATTAAAAGCCAGGCTCAGTGGCTCAGCCTGTAATCCCGCGCCTTGGGAGGCTGAGGTGAGTGGACTGCCTGAGCCTGCGGGTTCGAGACCCACCTGGGCAACTTGGCGAGACCTCATCCCTACAATGAATCAAAAATTAGCTGGCTGTGGTAGCACGCCTGTAATTCCACTTACTTGGAAGGCTGAGGTGGAAGAATCGCTGGAGCCCAGCAGGTCGAGGCTGCGGTGGCTGGGAGCGGCCACTGCACTCCAGTCTGGATGACAGAGTGAGGCTCCAACTCAAAAACAAAATAAAATAAAATTTAAAAAAAAGATCAAAAACAAAAACAAAGCCAAAAAAAATAATAATAACCTGTCCTCTTGTGGCAGGTTCTGTAATTGTTCCTCTAATCAGATCTCTCCTGCACAGCCACCTCATTCACTCTCTCAGGGAACCAAGCAGGGAAGGAGAAGGGGCAGTGGAGATGGGTGGGGCTGCAGTCCTCTCCTCCCCTCCCACTCTCATATGGTTAGGGAGATCTCTGTTGGGGATATACAGGATAGTCTCTTCCCCAGGTATGTATTCTCATGAGGTTGCCCAAGCCAGGCCTATCCCAGAATGGGGTTCTCCTACTGTGACTGATGTCCAGGCTCCAGTTGGGTTTGTCCCTCTCAGTCATGGCCCAGCTATGTGGGTCTGACGTTCAGAGGATTGTTGGGGAGGAGGGGGCTTGTGTCAGCCCAGATTCACCACTGATCTCTTTGGAATTCTTCCTCATCCTTTTCTGGCCACACCTTTTGTCCCAACTGGATCAGGGTAGGGGGTGGGGCGCTGGAACTCACCACTCATCAAGTTCCTCTGAAGTTTGTGCTCTCAGTATATTTCCTGTGGACCATAATCCAGCCCTGAGTAGTTGATCTGCATTCACAGAGATGGGATCTCTGGACTCTGTCCACAGCCCCTTCCAGCACCTTGTTAGCTCTCTTGTTGTGTCGCTACACATTTCAAAAATCATCCATCATGACCAAGTAGGCTTCATCCCTGGGACGCAAGGCTGGTTCAACATTTGTAAAACCATAAATGTAATTAAATACATCAACAGATGTCAAAACAAAAGCCACATGATTATATCATTAGATGCAGAAAAAGCTTTTGATAAAGTCCAGCACCCTTCTTGATAAAAACCCTCAAACATCTAGGCACACATGGAACATACCTCAAAATAGTAAAAGCCATCTATGAGAAACCCACAGCCAGCATACTCCTAAATGGACAAAAATTGGAACTATTTCCCCTGGAAACTGGAATAAGACAAGGATGCCCACTCTCACCCCTCCTGTTCAATACAGTATTGGAAGTCCAGGCTACAGCAATCAGAGAAGAGAAGGCAATCAGGGGTATCCAAACAGGAAAAGAGGAAGTCAAGTTATCTCTCTTTGCAGATGACATGATTGTGTACCTTGAAAACCCAAGAGAATCTGTCAAAGACCTCCTTACACTGATAAAGGACTTTGGCAAAGTCTCAGGGTATAAAATAAATGTGCAAAAGACAATCGCATTTCTTTACATCAATAATCAACAAACAGAAACCCGAATGAAAAGCACAATTCCATTCACAATTGCCACAAAAAATGAAATACCTTGGCATCTTCCTAACCAGAAATGCAAAAGATCTTTACAATGAAACTGCAAAACACTGCTCAAAGAAATCAAAGATAACACAAACAAGTGGAAAAATATTCCATGTTCATGGATTGGAAGAATCAACATTGTTAAGATGTCCATTTTACTTAAGGCAATCTACAGATTTAATGCAATACCCATCAAGTTACCAGCAACATTCTTCTCAGACCTAGAAAAAACAATACAGGAATTCATATGGAAACACAAATGACCAAGAATAGCCAGAACAATCCTCAGCAAAAAAAAAAAAAAAAAAAAAAAGCAGGAGTTATCACACTACCAGACTTAAAACTTTACTATAAAACTACAATAATCAAAACAGCTTGGTATTGGTACAGGAACAGGCATATAGACCAATGGAATAGAATTGAGATTCCAGAAGCAAAACTTCAATTTCTCAACCAAGTCATCTTTGACAAAGCCTCCACCACCTACCACTGGGGAGAGGAGAAACTATTCAGTAAATGGTACTGGGAAAACTGACTGACCACATGCAGAAGACTCAAACAAGAACCCTATCTATTCCCATACACAAAAATTAACTCTAAATGGATCAGAGACCTAAATGTAAAACCTCAAACCATAAGAACCTTAGAAAATGCAGGACACACCCTTATGGAAATTGGAACTGTCCTCCAATTCCTGAACAAAATCCAAAACACACAGGCCATAAGAGATAAGATAGACAAGTGGGACCTCATTAAACTGACAAGCTTCTGCAAAGCCAAAGAAACCATCAAGAGAGCAGG